GCTTGTCTTCAGTATCCCATGCTTGTCTTCAGTATCCCATGCTTGTCTTCAGTATCCCATGCTTGTCTTCAGTATCCCATGCTTGTCTTCAGTACCCCATGCTTGTCTTCAGTGTCCCATGCTTGTCTTAAGAGGCGACTGTGCTTGTCGTAAGAGGCGACTAACGCGATCTGGTGGTCAGACTCGCTGACTTGGCTGATGCATGTCATCGTATCCCAATTGCGCGGATCGATGCTCATGATATCAATCACTGTTGCTGAGGGCGGCGTTAAACTAAAAGCCAAAAACAAACACGCGTCAACGCGTGTGACAAATAGCATGTTACACTATAATATGTTCTTTGTGAGATGGGTAGGGGATATGTCCGTGTTTCAGGGGGCACTCGTCCGGGGCCTGAGGTCAAATACTATTTTGTTCTGCATATTCGGGAACAGATTATGTTTTCAAGAAAATACAATCCAAGCAAGAAGATTAATAATCGACTACCACTTAGTAGCATATGTTTGTAAGCGTAATTCATTACAAATGCTTTAAAATAATTGTTATACAACCGAAAAGAAATTGTGAAGTCAACCTCATTAAAATCAGTTCTTAGTTCCCGCTTTCGCTAAACAACGATCTCATCCCATTACGGGTCGTGTCAGGGCGAGCTTTCGCGAACTTTGACCGACTAATGGCGGTGAGGTGAAACGGGGATTAACGTCGCGTCCAAGATTATTGCACTTATATAGCGACGTGCATGTACGTGTGTGTGTTTGTGTGGCTGCTTGTACTAGTCCGGACTGATGATACCATGCCGCAGTTTAACATGACTACCCCACTCAGACACAGTATACTGACTCCGAGCCGACCAGTCCTTGTTTTAGCCCCTTAATGCCGAGCGCCAGACAGGGTAACAACAAGTACCACCTTTTAACGTCTTTTGTATGATGCGGCCGGGGATCGAACCCCGCTTTACCACTAGACCACGGAGGCGGTCACGACCGACCAGTGAAATGACTGAGTGGACAGTAGCCAATCAGAAAGGGGCTATCTGGAGCTTTGGGTCATTAGTTTCAAACTGACTTCGCTTTGAAAAATATTTTTTTGAATTTGATTCAAAATTTGAAATTTGAACAAAAGAAAACTCTGGAATATAAAAAAGATGGCCGAGATTGTATATCAGTACTTCCCAGGGGCTATACAAAGTCTCTTGCGTTTCAAATGTTTATCCCATTTCCAAGCGAGAGATAGTCGATGATTTTGAAGTCGATGAATCAGTCGTACAACCCCTTCTGTATGGTGGCCGAGAGGGGACATCGCTTTCTCGCTTTCTCGCTCTATCGCTTTCTCGCTCTATCGCTTTCTCGCTTTATCGCTTTATCGCTTTCTCGCTCTATCGCTTTCTCGCTTTCTCGCTTTCTCGCTTTATCGCTTTACCGCTTTATCGCTTTATCGCGGTTAAGCAATATCCCCTCTTGACCACTACAGGGGCCGCATGTGATATCTGCTGCAATTTGGAGGTAATGTTGAACTTTTCTCACTATTTACTTAAAACATAATTTAACTGTAGAGACGTAGGTGATTTTTAAACAATCCACCGATTTTTGCGTAAAATGTAATTGATTTATTTATGGCCCATTCAGCTGTATGTGACCATCACGCCGAAAGCGCGTGGCAGATCATGGCAATACGCTCTAAATAAATCAGGGTAAAATCTAAATATATACTTTTTAAAAGAAGTTAAGAAGACTATGGTTAATTAGTCATGGCTGATTGTTTTGCAAAATACAATCTTATAATTGTGGGTGTTCTATAACTTGTTTTCGGTAGTATATGATGTTACAGTGTGTCATAAGGTTGTCCGTAAATGTTCTTTTTGACATTTGATGTATGTTTAACTTGAATTGTGTTTCTTGTCTTGTGCAAATCTACAAATATATGTACTTGCATATAGTAATTTGATAAACACCGCTGTGAGTGAGTGAGTGGTTTCACGTAGCTTTTAACAATAATCCAGTAATATCACGGGTAACACCAGAAATGGGCTTCACACATTGTACCCATGTGGGGAATCGAACTGGGTCTTCGGCTTGACGATCGAACGCTTTAACCACTAGGCTACCCGACTGCCCCCATCGCTGTGGCGTCTCCACAGTTGATATGTGTACTTGTGTAAACTACATATATGGAGAGACATAATTAGTGTGGCCACATAGTTATGGTTGATAACAATATGAAATGCATTACTATGATTATCTATAACATACATGTATATTAAATCAGCTATCATTGTAATATGTTATGTATATCTTAAGTATAGTTTTGTCAAAATTATGTATGTGTGTGTGTGTGTTTGTGTGTGTGTGTCCGACTCATTGTCTGTGTAAAAAGGTAGTAGATAACAACATAACTCACATCAGAACGCACAATTGTTAACCATACAGTTTAAATAGATAGAGAATTGCTACATAAATATGTATATTCCTGTCTGAGCCTATACTATAATTGGATATCTAGTCTCTCCTGGCGGGAAAGTTAAACTTATTTTACAAGCACTTTAGCATTAAATTTAATTTCCGAAGACAGTTTGATCGAAAGTCATTAAAAAAAATATTTACAACGCATTTCATTTCTATTGTCCAGGGAATGGGGTTACGGGTTAATGACGCTCTCGAAAGTCGTATATGTGACTTAAGGTAGAGACATATATCTAATTCATCTGTATTTTGTAAGGGAAACATAACTGTGTACATGCATAACTTTTGTTTGCATAATGTACATGCAACTTAATGAACATAATTGTGATCCCGAAATCGGACGAGCACATATTCGGCTTCAATTCCAAATCTAATTACCTTTTTATCAGTTTTAAGATTGATGGAGGAAGGTGTGTGTGTGTGTGGGGGGGGGGGGGGGGGGGGGGGGGGGGGGGGGGGATACTATGAACAAAATGAAAATATGAACAGTGACTATCTGTATTCTGTGAATTTTGCTTATTCATTACACTACAAGAAAATATACAAGCTCAACGAGAAAAAATTACGTGTGTATTTTGTAACATATTTACAAAATACAAGATGTTTAAAAAATCTAATCATAAGAGGCAAAATAGCGGTGAGAATTACAGGATCACTAAATATCAGGAAAAACCGTTTTAATGTACGGCATTATGGGAAATATCGCTTTCTCGCTCTATCGCTTTCTCGCTTTATCGCTTTATCGCTCTATCGCTTTCTCGCTCTATCGCTTTCTCGTCCTATCGCTTTCTCTAATGTTTAACCGTAGTCATATGAAGGAATCGGGTGTTCTTTAACTTCTTTTGAATAGTATGTACTGTAAATCTTGAAATTAACGTTCGAGTTAATTATAAATGCAAAAGAATTAGCGTAGACTTAATTACCGTTTTCGACGTAATAAGCGCCCAGGGCGCTCTCAAAATTAGAATATTATTTAGGTGAAAAAAAGTTGAGTTGAAAGATTAATTTCGTGGTTTATGCTGACAGCCTGAAATGTTTATGTACGACAGATATATTTTTCCCGAATTTAATTGCCCATAATTAAGTGTGCATATAACGAGTGCGTATTATATGCGAATAAATAAGTCTTGTGTACATTAATCAATCGGAAGGGGTGCTAATTGGGATTGTTCACTAGCCAATATATTAGCAAATATCGCTGTGGGCGTTTATTAGAGCGGGGCGCTTATTACGTCGAATACGGTAATTATACTTTGCATTTTTGTCTCAGAAATGACTGTTGATAAGACGGCCTCACTGAACATTTTGAATAGAGGAAATACCAACTTGAATATAAAACCAATCAACTATCTATTTCCACATTACGGTTACTGAGAACAATATGTCAACCAAAAACTAGAAATTACATAATGGACATCCGGTAGTATTACCATTGCTTGGTTTAGGACTTCCACTTTGATGACATCTACTCCGCAAACAGAATAAACATTGATATAAGCGTTGCTTTTAGGAAAACACTATTGCTTGTTAGGAAGTACGTACTACGCAGCGCTATTGGGCGGTGTGATTTGTTATTTGTTTTGATAACTTGGCCTGGGGGCGGGGGATCCAATAGCTAAATAGGGCCATAAGTCAATCAAATTTTGTTTTACGCAGAACTACGTGGATTGTTATAAAAGCACGTATGTCTGTACTGTTAAATTATATTTAAGTAGATAGTGAGACCATATGTATAATTTGAAATGAGACTGAAAAAATATCAGCTCTCTTTTATGATTAAAACCCACCATAGCCCCTCCCCCTCCCAACACACACACACACGGAGAGGACAATTCATTAATGTTGTTTTACGTATATACTTTTTATCGTAAAGAAAGACGTAACGCATGCGATCCACATCGTGGCCAAGAGGGAATATTGCTTTACCGCGAGAAAGCGAGAAAGCGAGAAAGCGATAGAGCGAGAGAGCGAGAAAGCGAGAAAGCGAGAAGGCGAGAAAGCGAGAAAGCGATGTCCCCTCTCGGCCACCATACTTCTGTCCTTCAGAATAACCCGTGTTAACCTTTCCAAAGTTGCATGATTAGACAAAACTTTCCGACTGTCACTTTCCCCGATCTGGAAAGCGAATCTGATTGGTCGGATAAAAGGTCGTTCTGAAGTGACCTGTAATGGGGTGTCCTCTGATCTTTGACCTCAGATCTATGTTTAGCGGCAGTGTGAACTAGGATCTGATTTAAATGAGATGGGAGTGAAGTAGGGTGAAAATAGGACTAACATATCCTTTTCATGCGAATCCTTACTTTCCCTAGGAAGGTTCTGTGACAGGATGTACAGTCAGTCTAAATTTAAATACAATAAATTAAAAAACGACTTTTGACAATAAGGTGCCACGGAACTAAATCTCATTCGTCAATATTTAACAGACTCTGGGTAATATTTTATCCACGTATTCAATTTAAAATATCTCGAGTGTGCATGCGAAAGAGAAACAGGAACTTGCGTTTTCCTGTTTATTTTCAATGTTGGGTAACACTCAGAGGAGTGACGCCGACATTAACGTGCGGGTAGCCGTCTATTTGCATTCAAATTGTGGAGGTAGTCTCTGTCAAGCTGATCCTGCGAACCAAAGCAACAAACCAACACCCACACAAAGTAAGTCACTCTCAGTTGAATATAAATATTTATATTATATTCAGTGTAGACAGAATTAATAGATGATAAATCTTCCAAAGGTTTGATTGTGCTAGACGATTGTGATACCATGCTACATGGATACCTCACTCAGACACTGACTGTCACGGTGCTGTGCTCAAGGGACCAGGGTGTCATTAAACAAGCATAAAGCAATGATGAAAAAGTAATAGGTTCACAGGTTGATCACCATCAGCTAATTCTATCAATAGGTGACGATATCAAGGAGTGAGTGAGTGAGTATGGTATTACGCCGATTTTAGCAATATTCCAGCAATATCACGGCGGGGGACACCAGAAATGGGCTTCACACATTGTACCGATTTCGGGAATCGAACCCGTGTCTTCGGCGTGGCGAGCGAACGCTTTAACCACTAGGCTACCCGACCGCCCCTCGATATCAAGGATAAAAAAACAGAATCGCAAGCTGACTGCTAAACCAATACGGAAGATGTGAGTGCAAAAATAAGGCGCTGAACAAGCTATCCAGTGGTAACACTTAAGATTTACAACCAGATATGTACAATTATTGAGGTGGCAAAAATGACCATTAATACAAGATAAATATCTACCAGATAATCCCGCTTATGTGTGAAAATCATAGTCACAAAAACATTTATTCAATACATGAATAAAGAAGCAAACATATATGTGATAACATATATCAAATCAATACATGATAAAAGTGTGCCATTAAATCTCCAGAGAATAAAAATTAAAGGTTACATCGTTACGACGACCGACGGACTTTGCCGAATGGTGACGGAAGCCGGCCAATTAAAGTAAGGGAAGCTGGGCCTTGACTAGACCGTGCCTAAACTGTTTTTTCGACCTGGTAACACACACATTATGCAAGTTCTTTGAAAGGACCAGTTCTTGTTTTACCCCCTAAATACCAAGTCCTAGCCTGGGTAACAATGTGTACCACCTTTTAACGTCTTTACGTATGACCAAGCAGGGAATCGAACCACCGACGTTCCGTTCTCCGACCAGAGGCTGTATCCACTACACCACGTAGGCTCTCCTTAGAGCAGACTAATACAAGATATGAGCAAACATGTACGTTAGAAATCGTTGTTCAAGTTATCACGTAAATGATACTTCAACCTTGCTCATTTCGACCACTTCTTTGGTCTAGTGGACGGCCTCCTTGGCCTAGTGAATAGAGCGTCAGCCTGGAAAGCGGAAGGTCGCGTGATGACGTTAAAAGATTGTACTTGTTGTATTAAATGTAACCAGACTGTCTCGGCTTTAAATGGGATAAAACAAGCACTGGTCGGCTCGGAGTCAGTATACTGTCTGGATGGGGTATCCATGTTAAACTGCTGCATGATATATTTTTAGGGGTGCTGGGATTGTTTCTAGACAATAGATATTGTTTCAGCTACCGCTTTAAAACCAGATATTTTTAAATTAAAACTATGAGCCTGATTTTTTTTTAAGAAACACATCTTGCAACAATGTAAATTTTGCGGCAGGCAATGTTGTTTTTTTTACCAATCTAAGGCATAATAATTTTATTCTAGAATTTTCTGGGACAATTTTTTTTTTTCGATAAAATCCCCAGAATATTAACTCTGACTAGCACACACACACAAACAAACACACACACACACACACACACACACACACACACACACACACACAGACTTCCGGGTATTTTCCCGTAATTTCAAAGATGAATAAAGTAAAGCTGTGTCTCTTTCCAATTTCCGTCATTATATGGCTGGAATACTGACGATTTCACGTTAACTGTTAACTCTCTCTCATTTTCGCATGTCAGGGATAGCAACGGCAACATGGCAGCATGCAACATCAGCCAACCAAATGATTCAGTATCAAAGGAGGACCTCTTGTGGGAGGAAAACGAAAACATGGCCAAGACTCTAATCCCTGCCATGGCGTTTGTAGGATTTATAATGGTGACTGGATTCTTTGGGAACATTTTAGTGTGCTACATATTCACAAGAAAGATCCCTTTGTCTGTCAATACGTTTCTTCTCGTCTTCCTCGCGGCACTGGACTTGGTGAACTGCACATTGGCCATGCCCTTCGAAATCATGGACATGCGTTATTTTTACGTTTTTGAGAGTGATGTAACATGTAAAATATTTCGCTTTATTGTAGCATTTCCCAATATCGACTCAGCCTTTGTGTTGCTGATCATTACAATTAACAGGTACACGATGTTATGTAGGCCTATGTCAATTCAAATGACCATGAAGGAGGCAAAGAGGTATGTTGCCATAGCAACCACCGTCGCCATTTTTCTCTCCCTGCCAGCTGTGTGTATATATGGAAAACAAAGAGTTGAAACAAGTATAGATGGACTGTGTGGACAAGATTGTACAACAAGTGACAATATGAAGGGTTCAATATTCCCCTTTGTTTACCAGATATTTGGAGGAAGTGTCATGTTACTTATATCTGTGGCTATATGCTATATGTATATCCACGTTTGGAGAGAAGTACGGAAACATAAAAAGAACATATGTAACAACACACAATTTGTTCTCCATGAAAATTCAAAGAGAGGGAATATTTCAAGCACCAATTCCGATTTTCAAGATGAAGAAGTACCAGATGTAGGAAACACAAAGCACAAATCAATCCGGGGTAAACGCATAACCGTCATTGCTTGTACGGTGACCTTTGCCTTCATACTGAGTTATCTCCCCTTTGCTGTAATCATGGCGGTGCGCAGTTTTCTACCTTTGACATTTCATCCTAATGGGGTATGGTATGTGACGTACAATATCCTAATTCGGTCGTACTTCATCAGTTCGATGACAAACTCTTTTGTGTACGGATTCGTGAGTCTAACGTTTCGCCAAGAGTGTTGGAAACTGATTTTTGCAAAATGTCCTGGAAAATGACGGGAGTGCTAAGTTTATAGATTCACAATTAAAATATCGAAACGGGCTAACATAGTGTTGGTCGTTCTTTGTCCAGTGTTGCCATTAAAAGAATAACTTAAAATGTGTCTAGAAGTCCCCTAGATGCCTGCCTACCTATATGTGTAATGTTTTAAGAGCGACGTCAACACAGGGCTTGTTCCACACAGCGATCTCAGCGTGATGACGATCTTACTTTAACACGGACAATCACGGCATCAAGATAGATTGGTGGAACAGAATCCTGGTCAACAACGCAAACACATCGTTCACTTTGACCTCGATCGGCGATTATCGCTGAAAATTGAATGTTTACAGCGTATTTCAGTGACGTCGTGATCATAACGCTTGTTTTGTTTACTCAAAGCATATATATTCCGACATAGTTTATTAATCATGCTCGCTAGTTGGGTCCTGTTGTTTTGCGTAGCATTCAGTAATAATCGGGCTACATCGTGGCAGCATGTACATAACAAAATCTTGACGAGGCAAACCAGTGATTGAAAGCATGGGCTACGATCCTTGCAACTCTGACGGGTGAGTGAGTGAGTTATGTATAAGCCCCCTTTAACAATATTCCAGCAATATCACGACAGGCGAATCCGGTCTTCACATATTGTACCCATGTGGGAATCGAACTCAGGCCTTTTCAGGCCAACGTGGTCGGCGGCCTATGACGTAAGAGGTCAGATGGGAAATTTCAAAGTTTGTGGTGGAGCAGTGCAAAATACCGCCATGATTTGTCAAACATTCAGTGTCCATTTACCCTTCCTTGCACAATATGGAGTACAGTTCGCTCAGTCATAGTGATGCCGACCCACACAATAACCGATCCGCCGCCAAAATATGTCATGAGGTCTCAGATTGGCATTGGCTTGACGTTTATTTCGGCGTCGCCAGACACGACCATGCCTAACGTGAATCGGGACTATCTCGAAACACGACACGTGACCAGCGACGAGTACCCCAGTTTCTACGTTGCGTTCACCATTGGCGTCTTTTGGCAATGTGACAATTTGAACATGGGGATGAGTTGCACGTTGACGATTTCTAATCGTCTGACCCTGAACTCGTACTCCAGTACCCTGATGAAAGTTTGCAGCAATTTGATTCACCGTTTGAGCTCGATTTCGTTGAGCCTGGTTTCGGACTGTTGATCCTTAAACGAGGTCGATTGTCAACATTTTGGGTTTGTTGGTACTTGTTCCATAGTCTGCTAATCACAGACTGTGAAACATTGAACGTATTGGTCACTGCACGCTAACTTCTGCCAGTTTCCAGCATGCAAATAGCCCGTAGACGCTCCGCGCGTTGCAGACGCCGCTTTGTTACTTCATACAATGAATGAAATCAAGTAAATCACGCACAACTGTATAATTTCAGACTGACAGAAATAATGGTCCACAGAGATAAATCGACCTTCTTTGTAAGTTTCATAATCAGGAATGACACCCTACGCACGTTAAGTAATTTGTGGCGCTACTGCGTGTGGCATGTGCAAGCTATAGGATGTGTTTTGGTGTTAAGTTTACAGACATAGCCGTTCTTGCATGGGATGTTTGCTGTCAACACTTATTTACGATAAACGGACTAATGCCGATTTATAGTGCAAGCCCACTGAGATACCATGCCGCGGTTTAACATGAATACCCCACTCAGACACAGAAAACTCCGTACTACTAGTCTGGACTAATGCCGATTTATAGTGCTAGCCAACTGAGATACCATGCCGCGGTTTAACATGAATACCCCACTCAGACACAGAAAACTCCGTACTACTAGTCTGGACTAATGCCGATTTATAGTGCTAGCCCACTGAGATACCATGCCGCGGTTTAACATGAATACCCCACTCAGACACAGAAAGCTCAGTACTACTAGTCTGGACTAATGCCGATTTATAGTGCTAGTGAACAATTGACTTGCCTTTACATGTGTTTGTGAGTGGTGCCACCGGTGGGGCAGGGTACGCTCGCCTTTTCGCGAGCACCTGGTATCATCACTGTTTGATAGTGATTTATAAATCCATGTTCATGATATAGCCGTTATCGTACAATCGACTGCTTTTGGCAGATATTTGTTATGTATTTGGAAACGGTTTTGTCGCTTCTCTTTATAGAAAAAGAGCTTGTGATTTCATCCGACGTTTGGCACTGAAAGTTCAATTTAGGGTAACAAGCGTAGACACATACTTGATATCCTGTGTATTGCATATCCACTCTATAATGAAAAACACCCTGGTTTCATACACTACCATAGCTTCCTTTCGAAAGTGACGTCATCATCTCCATCTGACGCATCTTTGACATAGCACAATAGGTCTCTCGTTCTGAGAGTAATTTAATTGGGCGGCTATTTTCTTCTCAATCGGGGGCACGTGTAGACCAGGCGTCAAAGGCGCCGCAAACCGCTGTGCAGAGTTGTTGTCCCTTGGGTACGCCAGAAACCTGTTTGTGGGGTGAGATGAGGTAAAACGGATTTAACTTCGCGTTCAAGATTATTGCACTCACACAGCGACGTGCATGAACGTGTGTGTGTGTGTGTGTGTGTGTGTGTGCGTGCGTGCGTATGTGTGTGTGCGTGTGTGTGCGTATGTGTGTGTGCGTGCGTGCGTGCGTGCGTGTGTGGTTTGCCCACTGAGGTACCATGACTCAGTTTAACTTGAATACCCCACTATACTGACCCCGAGCCGACCAGTTCTTGTTTTGACCCCATCTGACGCATCTTTGACATAGCACAATAGGTCTCTCGTTCTGAGAGTAATTTAATTGGGCGGCTATTTTCTTCTCAATCGGGGGCACGTGTAGACCAGGCGTCAAAGGCGCCGCAAACCGCTGTGCAGAGTTGTTGTCCCTTGGGTACGCCAGAAACCTGTTTGTGGGGTGAGATGAGGTAAAACGGATTTAACTTCGCGTTCAAGATTATTGCACTCACACAGCGACGTGCATGAACGTGTGTGTGTGTGTGTGTGTGTGTGCGTGCGTGCGTATGTGTGTGTGCGTGTGTGTGTGTGTGTGCGTATGTGTGTGCGTGCGTGCGTGTGTATGTGTGCGCGCGCGCGTGCGTGCGTGCGTGCGTGCGTGCGTGTGTGGTTTGCCCACTGAGGTACCATGACTCAGTTTAACTTGAATACCCCACTATACTGACCCCGAGCCGACCAGTTCTTGTTTTGACCCCTTGATGCCAAGCCAAGCACCAGGCAGGGTAGCCATCTTTTAAGGTCTTTTGGTAAGACGAAGCCGGAGATCGAATCCCCGACCTTCCGCACTCCGGACAGACGCTCCACCACTAGACAACGGAGGTGGTTATGATTGTGGGTTCAAATCCCGATTCGCCCCGATTATGTTTCTAGGCTTGTCAGCACCATACCAGAGCTCGTGTGTTTCACCGAAGTGGTAAATGAATACGACCAGCGTCACTTCAGGCTTTCCTCCCACATAAAGCCGACACGCCGTGATATGACTGGAACACTGTTCAAAGCGGCGTCAAACCAAATTCACTCACTCCTTATGGGTGAAGGGTATGTATCATAATAGAATCAAGATGTAAATAATTCATACCCATGAATAGCGAGGATGAGGTGGACACAATGAGCTGTATCCAAGTAAGAAGTTCAAGGAATATTCAAATGTGACATTTGAGAATTCTCAATCATATCGGTCAGAGGTTTCAAATCGTAATAATATGTTGCTGATGAAAACAGCTGATTCTGAAGGCAACTGGTGTGTGAGTATACATGTATTCTACCTCGTCTGCCCAAAACGCATGCTAGACCATGGCATGTGACAAAGTACCACTTAACGTCGCATCGGCGTTATGTCAGCCATGGAGCGATTGAAGCTGTTTGTTTGTTTGTTGTTTAACGCCGCACTCAGCAATATTCCGGCTATATGACTGCGGTCTGTAAATAATCGAGTCTGGACCAGACAATCCAGTGATTGACATCATGAGCATCGATCCACACAATTGGGATACGATGACATGCATCAACCATGTCAGTTAGTCTGACCACCCTATCCTCAGTGTTAGTCGCCTTTTACGACAAGCATAGTCGCCTTTTACGGCAAGCATAGTCGCCTTTTACGGCAAGCATAGTCGCCTTTTACGACAAGCATAGTCGCCTTTTACGGCAAGCATAGTCGCCTTTTTCGGCAAGCATAGTCGCCTTTTACGGCAAGCATGGGTTCCATTGAAGCTGAAGGAGCTTTCACTAATTTGATGTTTTCAACAATATAACTTTCTCTCGATTTTTCGTGAGAACCGGACGGGTTTAAAATCCGACGCGGAAGAAAATGAAACCATGTACGGATATATTATGTAACTGTGACGCCCGTTCCCATCAACTAGGAATAAATACGATACAGACTGAGGAACTTTGAAACTATGCCTCTGAACTGATTTTATCAAGTTTGATTTTCAGTTGAAAATATCTCATGTTAGCGATATCATATACAAAAAATACAAAAACTGTACTGGCGTAAGTGAACTCTCGAAGAATACCCCAACGTGGTTATATTTTTTAAATATAGTTTGATTTGAAACTTTTGAAAATTAAAAAATTCGCATACAGTTCCAAACTACTGATTTGTATCTAAGCCATCATATCTTTGAAAATCAATAAATTTGCTTTTTGGGCACAAATGTACAACATTTCAAACATGGTAAGGGCCATATGGTTGCAAATTCATTTCTTACCCCAGTCTTCATTGAACCAAGTTATTTGTACACAAAATTACTCAGACACAGATTACTTTTTACAAACTGTTGCAGGAATGGGTAATAGTTAAAGAGACACAATCAAACAACAGTACTTTCAATGTTTAATTGCTTATTTTGTTTTAAAATCGGTATACTTTCTTTTGTCCCTCCGTACAAATAACATTCCGGCAGGGGGAACTTTGTTTCCATAGTAACCAGGGCCCTCATTTTCCTTCCTGCGTTTGTGTATACATCCATATAAAATACGGAAACATAACAAGAATATCTTGCGCTTTTAATGCGAATTCAGAAGAGACAGTTTGG